CTCCAGTATAATGATTTTGAAATGCTTGAGTCTATTTTCCAGGATTAGTGGACAGGTAAAGTGACTGGCATTAGATCTTTTTGCTGATTTAGTAATGCACAGGACTTTGTGGATATGAAATTGTATATTTTTATTCCCCGGGACTGAGAAGAGGTTGTAGAGAATGAGTAGAAAACTGGGCAGTGTATGTACAGAGCCCAGGACCTTTCCTACACATCATCCAATTTAGTTTAAAGCCCTGGGTGCAGAATGTTCTGTTATTGTTTTCCTTTTTTTAAAGAAAGTGACAATTTGGTTTAGTTGTGTTCCATTTCATGGAGATAATAAATAGATAAATATTGCCAAGAGGCAATAGATGTCTAAACTAGCAGGTTGCAAATTGAAATAACCTATGGGTCTTGATGCAGAGCATTCAAATGACCTCAATCCTCTATATGTCATAACTGTTCTAGGGAAGATTGAATAAGGTTGTATGTGGGTCAAATACCATTGAAAGAAAGGTTTGTCTAAGACATTAAATAATTTAATTAGATACCATTACCGAGGGCTGCAGATCAAAGGGTTTGTCAATTGAGATTTGACCTAATCTAAAAGAATTTTCTTTCTTCAGGGGTTTCCAGGCATTTGTGAGTTTGAGAAGCTGGGAAGGCTTTTGAAATATTGCCAGGAGAGTTTGCAGGGATATCGTCACAGTTCTAAACCTGGCAACTCTTGGAGAATTGTTCTTTCGGGCAGCCCATTCTGTGCCATCTACTGATACTTGAGAGGACCCTCCATTGGTGAGCAAGTCACAGAACAAAGTTTTAATTTATTTTCTTTTCTCCTTTACTCCTTTTCTTGGATCTTTAACCATCCATCTGGGATGGACAATCTCCAGGAAGACAAGAGGCAGCCATTAGTTAAAAGGAAAGTTATGCTGTATAAATAAATTGTTGCAGGTTAGCAGGACTAAGATGGGAAACACGCTGGGTTGTTTGCCAGGAATTTTTTAATGGTAATTCTAGGATGATGGTAATTCTAAGATAATTTTAAGATGAGACAATCAGCACTGCCTTTGGAGGGCACAGCCTAGACTAAATGAAAAATGGCCCCCTCAATTTAGATGCTGTGTTGTCTTTAAGTGTGAGAGGAAAATTGTCATCAATTTTAGTTCTGTGGGTCCAAACATAGTACTAATGGGTGCAAGGTCATGAGTTCAACTGTAATCTCTATCAGCAAGCTTAACTCCATTTAAAAAGCAAGTCTGTCTCACAGCCATAGACTGATCACCAATTTTTAGTCAAATGGCTCATCAATTTATTCTAATGGGCTCATGAGGGATTGAAGGATAGACACATTATAAATCCTCCTTCAATATTGGAAAAAAAAATATATCCTGTGGCTCACTGGGAATGATAGATTCATATGAAAAGGAAAAAGATCTATTTATCAATATTTAATATTTAACAGTAAAAGCGGTGAGTTTTATAGAGTTCTAGGAGCAACACAAAGTTTTAAATGGCATAATAATCAGCCATCTACTTCAGGGCAAAACCAGTTCATCCTCCCATCTGTGGCCAGCTCATTATCTCATTAAATATTTCACTGTGAATGACCCATATGTAGATAATTGGGAGCTAAATGTAGTAAATTATAGATGGAATTAATTCAAAAAATTAAAATATACTAACTTAAAATATAACAGGACATTGTTTCACATAGCCATTTGACTCATATATTTGTATATTCTCACTCTGTTGAGATGATTTTCTCAATTTTCACTTGCAAAGATGGAGGCAGGCCAAGGCAAAATATCTTTCTTGGAGTCCTATGATAAATGAAGACAGCGGCAGCATTAGGTCTCTCAAGCTTTGAAGACACTCCTATGAAGCTAAGTCACCATCCTCTCCATCCCTTACATTTGTTTGCCTCTTCACAAATAGCAAACACTTTGCTGGATATATGGATTTACCTTCATTATATACCTAGCCTATCTGATAAGCTGAAAAGGGTAGACAATGTGACATAGGGATAGCTTACCAGAAGGCCACGACATGGAAAGGAAACATTATGAAATTTTCTTTCTTAAAGACTTTTAAGAGCCAGGAGCGGTGGCTCATGCCTGTAATCCCAGCTCTTTGGGAGGCCGAGGTGGATGGATCACCTGGAGTCAGGAATTCAAGACCAGCCTAGCCAACATGGTGAAATCCCATCTCTACTAAAAATTCAAAATTAGCCGGACGTGTTGGCATGCACCTGTAATCCCAGTTACTTGGGTGGCTGAGGCAGGAGAATTGCTTGAACCCGGGATGTGGAGGTTGCAGTGAGCCAAGAACGCACCACTGCACTCCAACCTGGGCAACAGAGTGAGACTTCCNGTGGAGGTTGCAGTGAGCTGAAATTGTGCCACTGCACTCCAACCTGGACAACAGAGAAAGGCTAAATCTCCAAAAAAAAAAAAAAAAAAAAAAAAAGGCTCTTAAGGACAAGTGAGTTTCCCATTTCGGAGATGATTAGGGATACTTCATTTTTTAGAAAACCCCTTCTCTAGCCTACATCACTCTTCAACAAAGGAGAAAAGTATAACAGATTTCAATACTCTGAGGATTAAGTTCTTTTTTTCTTTATCTGAAGGAAATCAGAGAATCCTAGCATGTTAAAACTAGAAGGGACCTTAGAGATAATTTAGTTTAACAAGATTGGAAATAAAAATTCAGACAAGTAAGGGGAAGAAATTTGTCTAGATACAAAGCCAGTGAGTAGCAGAAGCTTCAAGGAGGGGATTAGAAAGAGAATGTGAGTTAGTTTCATGGAGAAACACATATACATTAAGGGATGCTTAGCATAGGAACAGTAATGTGAAGGGAACAGGCAGATGGAAAAAGAGAGGTTACCTTTCAATAAGGAACAGCTATAGAACTCCATTCATACATTCCTTCAGCAAATAATTATTGAGCTCCTATCTAGGCACTGTTCTACATTTTGGGCACATAGCAATGAAGAAAACAGAAAAACTTCCTGACGTCATTGCGCATACATTCTAGTTGATAGAGACAATCAATAAACATAATTAACAGATAAGCTATACAGTATGATAGATGCAGTTCTAAGGAGAAAATAATGCAGGAAAAGGGAATATAAAATTTCAATGTCTAGAAATGAACTCCAGATGAGGTGACCCAGAAAGGATGTAATACAATTTCAGGGGCTAGAGATCAACTCCTAGACGAGGTGACCCAGGAAGGATGCGCTGAAAAGATGCCTTGTGAGTAAAGACCCGGGGGAAGTGAGAAGGTGAGCCATGCAAGAATCTGGGTTTCATAAATATGGAGCAACAAGTTTTTCATAAATATAGAGCAGCAGGATCAAAGGCTCTGGGAAAAGGATGGGCTTTGAGTGTTTGAGGAATGGTGAGGATGCCAGTGTGACTAGAGCAAAGTGAGCAAGGGAAGGGTGGTAGGAAGTTCATTCAGAGAGGAGGTGATTGTGTGGCAAACCATATAGGGCCTTGTAGGTCATAGTAAGGAAATTGGTGTTTAGTGAGGTTGAAACAAGAATCTATACTTAACAATATGAAACTATATACTTAAAAATTTAATAAAGGGTAAGCCTTATGTTAGGTGTCCTTATTACAAAGATAAAAGAGAGAAGGAGGATACTTTTAGGGATGTTCATTAGATTTGTGGCATTATTTATGGTGGCTGTTTCATGCGTATATACTTGTCTTCAAATTCAAGATGTATATACAAAATATGTGTACCTTTCTGTATGTCAGTCACACTTCAATAAAATTAAATTTTTTAATGGAAAAGTGACCTGATCTCACTTACAGTTTAACTGAATTATTTGAACTGAATGGGAAGAAGGCCAGAAACAGGAAAACCAATGAGGATGTTACTGGAAAAATCCAGGTAAGTGATGATGATGCCTTGGAATAAAGGATGGCAGTGCAGGTGGCAAGAGGAGCATGTAGATTCTGGATAATAGCTCTGAATGCTTAGGAATTTGTATGTTCATTCACTATCTATTAGGTTCTTGTGATCCCCCAGGTACTGTTCTAGGTTCTAGGAATATATCAGTAAACAGCAGACAAGGAGCCTGTTCTCATTAAATTCACATTTGGGTGAGAGACAAGTAATAGACAAGTAATCAAATTATCAATATAATTTTGGATATTAGAATATATTATAAAAAATGAAGCAGGGCTAGAGGAAAGAGAATGGTGAGGATGGGATGAGAGAGTCTTTTCAGTGAGGCTGCATACTCAGACTCTCTCCTTACCACCCACTTTTAGAACCATCATGTTCAATTTTCATACTCCTGACGGCTTAACAACAACAGAGCAGAAAATACAGGAGAAGCTAGAAATGTAACTTCAACAGGGGATATTAGCAGAGGATCCTCCCAGACCTCAACTACTCCATTTACATAATATTCGCTCAGGTCAAAGAGCTGCCTTGCACCCACTCAATGTCAGGCACCATGGTAGATTCTGGAGCTATGGGAAAATGGAGGCAAGCACAATCTAGGCGTGAGAGACACCCCAAACACAGACAATATTTTAGCTAAGACATGTGTCAGAAGGTGCACTGTTGGTGGAGATTAGTAACTCAAGCTAACCGAGATTCAGCCACGTCTGTATATCAGATCTATCTTGGAAAATGAAGTGAGAAAGTCAGGAAGATGGCCTCCCTTTCCTGTCTTGTTAGTTAGGAAAAATTATTCAAGAAGACATCTGGTGGAGGAGGGCTGGAGAACTTTTCATATAACTATTTTTAAAAAGGATAAGGAACTTTCCATTTTCTTGGGATTGAGGAGGGGATATTTAGCTTTGCCTCTGTTCACATTATAGATATCTATTCCGTTTGTGTACCATGTCTTCTGAAAAGGACAACGATAATGATTCTGCACACCCTAATTCTTTCCACCTTTCTCACACCATCTATCTTTATTCTCATTCTTTCAGGTAACATTAAGTAGCCATTTGGCATCCATTTAATGAATAGTGGCAAGAGGGAAAGATGGCCGTGAACAATGTCACAGCAGTGTTTCAGTTTCTCCTTATCGGCATCTCTAACTATCCTCAATGGAAAGGCACGTTTTTCACGTTGGTGCTGATAATTTACCTCAGCACATTGTTGGGGAATGGGCTTATGATCTTTCTTATTCACTTTGACCCCAACCTCCACACTCCAATGTACTTCTTCCTTAGTAACCTGTCTTTCTTAGACCTTTGCTATGGAACAGCTTCCATGCCCCAGGCTTTGGTGCATTGTTTCTCTACCCATCCCTACCTCTCTTATCCCAGATGTTTTGCTCAAATGAGTGTGTCCTTGGCCTTGGCCACAGCAGAGTGCCTCCTACTGGCTGTCATGGCCTATGACCGTATGGTTGCTATCAGCAATCCCCTGCATTATTCAATGGTTATGAATGGCCCAGTGTGTGTCTGCTTGGCTGCTACCTCATGGGGGACATCACTTGTGCTCACTGCCATGCTCATCCTCTCCCTGAGGCTTCACTTCTGTGGGGCTAATGTCATCAACCATTTTGTCTGTGAGATTCTCTCCCTTATTAAGCTGGCCTGTTCTGATACCAGCTTCAATGAACTTATGATCCTCATCACCGGTATCTTCACCCTGCTGCTGCCATTTGGGTTTGTTCTCCTCTCCTACATACAAATTGCTATGACTGTCATAAGGATTCGCTCAATCCAGGGCAGACTCAAGGCCTTTACCACGTGTGGCTCTCACTTGACTGTGGTGACAATCTTCTATGGGGCAGCCATCTCCATGTATATGAAACCTCAGTCCAAGTCCTCCCCTGACCGGGACAAGTTTATCTCAGTGTTTTATGGAGCTTTGACACCCATGCTGAACCCCCTGATATATAGTCTAAGAAACAAAGATGTTAAAGGGGCAATAAGGAAAGTTATGGTGACAAGGACATGAGCCTTGTTTTCTTTTAAATGTCTCCATTCTTTCTTTGACATTGCTTTGTAGCTTCAATTCAGGATATGGTTTATCAACATTACCAAGTGTTCCAATTCACCTCCTCCCTCATTTTCAAATAACATATCTTCCCTGATGTAGAAAATGGTTTAAAGGATCTGACTTTATCTTTGGAAGTGATTGACATATGAGAAGCTTCAGGAAGTGCTTCCACCGCAAATATTATTCCTACTGAGACTTGATTTGCCATTAGAGGTATTATTTTTGCTCTTTCTTTGCATAGAATATTATTAGGGGCTGCCCATTAGGTTACTCACCTTTGGGTAAATGAACTTATCAGAGTAATTTTCTCACTGACAGAAGAGACCTATACAGCAAGAGAATCTTCTATAACTGTTGACAGTAGGCAAAGCATAACTGAAATTGGAAAACGAGACAAAGAATGGTGTAATAAAAGGCCAGAAGACCAATGTGAGAAACTTTGCAACTTGACTGAGGGCAAGCCCTCCTATGTTAAGCACAACCTCCTTGTCCCACTTAACCTTGGAATCCTGAGAAAAACTATCATGGCCATTTCCTACATTTGTGTAGTGTTTTCTACTTGCTTTTTCTTTTTCAAAGCATCTTTCTAATCTATTAATCTATTTTATATTCCTACTTTTCCTATGGAGTTGGTAAGAACACCACCACAATTTCCCCCTGTATTAACAATGAGGAAACAGAGTAGACATTGAGACTCGTCTAAAGTCATACGTAATTGATAGTGGAGTCAAAATTCGAATTTTTAAAACTAAGTCTGTAAAATTATTTGTAATCATAGAATTATAAATGCAGCTGCCATTTATCGAGAACTTATGATACGCTAGGTGCTGAGTGAAGCTCTCCGTATCTATCATCACATAGAATTCTCACAGTGGTTCATTGCCATGGTACTATTTTCTTTCTTTTTTTTTTTTTTTTTTT